AAGAGAAGAAGGAGAAAAAGGAGGAGAAAGAGGAGGAGAAGAATGAGAGAGGTAGAGGAGGAGGAGGATGAGAAAAGCTAAAAACTTCCTCCAGTATCACCTAGAATAAATATTCAGTAGATTTAGATTGTGATTTTATCTTCTTACAGTGTTTTAAAGATTATGTAATTCCAACATATAATTTAGGAAAAATTAATGCCTTTAATGATTATTATGTTTTAACTTGTTTTATGCATATTTTATTGAGTTATTGTCATTCATATAATATATTTTAATCAAGCTTAGACTCCCTCCCCATCTGAACCCTGAAGGCCCCACCACATACACACATGGGATTTCATGCATTCTGCCATATATGATAAGGCCTTTGATTTTATGTGTCAAGCATTTATACCCTGATGTCCCTGGGCAAGTTCATCCACTGGAGTCTAGTCTATCTAGAGTCACTACCTTAAAGAACTATTCTTTCTCAACCCTCAATTATCAGTTGCCAATAGTTCCTCAGCCAATCGAGCCTTCTGCCCATTTCCCCAGTTCTATGCCAGTTTTTGTCTTAATTAGTATGGCTCTGGTGTACACTGTCATCATTGCTATAAGTTCATACTAGCAAGTTCCCAGAGACCTGAAAGCCTCTGTATACTTATGTTCATGCACCAGCCCTGGCTCTTAAAATATTTCTGCTCCCTCTTCCACAATGGTTCCTAAGTCATGGGTGAGTGGGTTTAATACAGGAGTCTTATTCAAAGACACACATTGTGCAGTTTCTTATTCTCTAAAACTTGGCCAGTTGTGGCCTTCTGTGTGCATCATACTCTGTTATATAAGGAAGCTTCACTGGTGAGAGTTGAGGAACTTGTTAGTAATCTCTCTACCCCTTGTTCCACTATGTTCCATAAGCCTTAGGTGTAGAGGTTCCACTGTAGATGTGTTACTTAGGGCTGGCTATCTTTCAGACATATGTCTCTGTGTATGACCAATTGCAGAACTCTGTAGTAGCCTCCATGTCTGACAAAAAGCATCTTCTTTGATGAGTAGTATACAATATACTTAAGTATTGTTTAACATCTTTTAGCTTCTCTTTAACTTCTGTTAACATTAGTTTTATGTATGCAATATTATAAAGGCATTCATTTGAATTACATTTGACTCAGAAATACTGAAATCTGAACAACTTCAAATAATGTATGTAGAAACCAACAGTGTATTAAACTGTTTTACTACAACCATACTAGAAATCACCATGGACTCAGTTAAGTCTTGTGAAGCACCATGTAATGGTGAATGTCAGTGCAACTAATTGTGTAGCACATTTCAGTGTGCTGATTGGTACATGGCAGGGTGACAGCTCATGACACTATACTAATACTTTAACATTATCTGAGGTATCATTCTAACAAGAATGGTAGAGTATATCTGAAGGTTGGTTATTTATCTAGTTTGATAGACTTAGAATATCTGATCATCTAGATAAAACTCTGGGGGTAAAAAGCCAGTGGGGAAGGGGCTATGGGTGGCACCAGTGAGAGAGGATTTCTAAATATTATTAATATGTATTGCGTGAAATGCACAGATACTCAATGAAATATACATTAAAATAATTTAAATAATTTTAAAAAGCTCTATTCAGTGCTTATATTCTTTGAAACACTATATAAAGCTTTCTTCATTCTTTGATATAATAGAGGTGGCTATGTGAAAATTTTACAAATTCTTCATGTTTCTTCAGAGAATTTTTTAGTAGACATTCATATTCTATTACATGCAATAGATACATAAATAAGTGTGATTTTATGTTGTTATAGTTAATCTTTGTTATTGAATTTTTGTGTATTTTATACAGAACAGCTCAAACAATTTTAATCATCTTTATATCCCTGTCCCCAAGTAACCCTTCTATAGCACACCCCCACTGAAGCCCATTATACTCTGTCATCCCTGTTAAGGCCCACTGGGTCCTCAGTGTCACTGCTGTTCCCCACTGCAAGTCTGTCCACTAATTCTAGCCAGCCTATCTAGAGCCTCTTGTTTTAGGAAGATCAGCTCTTCTTCATCTAGCAACAATCATTTGCCAGCATTTCTTCAGATAAGATTGAGATCTGTTGTTCATTTTCCTGGTTCTATACTGGGTTATTATCTGCCTGAGTTTGCATGCAACTTGTGTATGCTGACACCATTGCCATAGAATCATATGAACAGATTCCAAGGAGTTCATAGGACTCTGTTTCTATGTGGTCATGGTCATGCACCTCCTTCCCGGCTCTTACAATTTTTCTGCCCCCTCTTCTGCGATGGTCCGTGAGACTTGGGTGGGTGATCCTGTCCAAGAACCATCAGGCCTAAGTGACACATCTGCAATGCAACCTCTACACCTAAGACTCATGAAACTTAGAACAGGGATAATGAAGAGAGTTTTATTTCAGTGATTATTCCTAACACTACCCAGCCACAGTCTCATTTACGAAGGAGTATAAGCAGACCTCAGTCTTGAAGAAATATTTGCAACTGATTACTGCTTGGTGAGGAGGAGCTGATCTTCCTAAAGTAAGGGTCTCTAGATAGGCTAACTAGACCTCAGTAGAAGAACTTGTACTGAAGGACATCTGGGGACAATAACTTGATAATATAGGACTTAATACAAATGATAGACTGTATGAATTCCAGTGGGGGGGCTATGGGAGGGTGCCAGTGGAGAAGGGGCCATAAAGATAATTGGGACTGATTGAGATGTTAGGTATGAAATACCCAAAAATTCAATAAAAATTAAAAGAAAGAAATAAAAAAATTATGAAAAATAACAGGTTTTTACTATGGAAGATTGTCAATATTATCTGAAATAATGGTCTGTAAAAGGGATATTTAAATCACTTGTCTGTTTTAAATATATTCTAAAAATTAAATTTTAATACTAAAACAGAATTCCATAGTATAACAATTTTTCTAAATATAATTAATTTATGCTAGACAATCTTAAAGAATGGGCAAAATGTTTTTAGAGATTAAAAGATATGTTAATTGATAAAAATAAAATGCTGCAAATTAAAAAAGAAGGAAAAAGAAGGAATATAAAGACATTCAGTTTTGCAAACAGATCTATCCTGACTGGTCTATTATCACAAATTAAGGTTTGTCTTGTTATCATAAGTTGTTAGTGATTTAACGTTTATCTTTTAAAAGCTAATTTTGAATGCAACAGAAATAATAGGAAACTGATGTGTGCCAATTGCTATAATGTTTTATATATATTGAGTTGAAGGAAATTTTATGAAATTATTCTAGCTGTGCTAAATTTATGGAAATTAGTTAATTTAGTATTAGTACAAAGAAGTATTTTAGTGTCTTACAATTTTAATGCCACACATTTTCCTTCTTTGTGTCTGTACAAAATGTTGCTATTAAATGTGTAGGTAACCTCAGTGAAGTCTATATTTGTGTTCTCTCTTTTATTAACGAAAAAGGCTATGTGTCCTCAAATTAAATCCCTTTGTACTTAACAATATCAGAGACACAAATATTTCTTGAAGCAGAGAAGTGCTTATCCTCAAGAGGGAAAGGAAAATGTTAGAGATGAATTCATACATAAAACTGAATTTTTTTTTACACATCATGGTCTGTGACTATAAGACCAGTGCATATTCTTGTAGACAGAAACCATAATTTCTGAAGTTTTAAAAAGTACATCCAGGGGCTGGAGAGACAGCACAGCGGTTAAGAACACTGACTGTACTTGCAGAAGACCCAGGTTTGAATCCCAGCACCCACATGGCTGCTAACAACTCTCCATAACTCCAGTTCCAGGGGTTCAGACAGTCTCTTCTGTCCTGCACGGGCATTGCACCACATCGGTGCACTTACCTACGTGCAGACAATACATGCATACACGTAAAATAAAAATATTTTTTTAAAAAGTACATCCAGAGCATTCAAAATCTCTGTGAATCTTGAAACAGTTCTCATGAAGAAAGTCAAAATAATATTTCCTCTAACACTTCCTTTTACTCTTCTTATTAAGCAGGTGGCATGGGTATAGTATACCACCATATCAATGCAATATTAAATTAATCATTTCTTTTCTATCTCAATATGGGATAGCTGTCTGTGATGGTTTGAATGAGAATGTTCCTTATAGGCTCTCTAAGTATGTGAGCATTTTGTTGCCAGTTGGTGGAGCTATTTTGGGAGTTCTTAGAAGGTGTGGTCATGCTGCAGGTTGCATGTCATTTTGGGTGGGCTTAGAGAGTTCTCAAGCCTTGCTCCATCTTCAGTACCTGTCTTGCTTCCTGTGCTAGTTTGAAGATATGAGATCTTAGCTTCTGCTCCTACTCCAGCCACCTCTTCCACCATGCCTCCTCTCCACAATGGATTCTTGCCACTTTGAAACTGTAAACTAAATAAACTCTACCTTTTATAAGTTTCCTTGGTTATGGTGTTTCTATTACAGTAACAGAAAAGTGACTAATACACTGTGACATCACTCCATGACAATATTCATATTCTTTACTAAAAAATTAAGTTATACAAAACTAATGGTTATAAAGATGAGGTACAAGAGAGTATTCTTCTGTAAGTACCAATGAAGTAAACTTTTTTTCCACTGATCCTTAATATCTATTGTAAATCATTGCTACAATGAGAGATAATTTTTTCTTTCAGTAATTTAAATTTTCTAATCGAAAATAGAGATATTTGAAAACAACACAACAAAGATCATAGATAAATGTTTGCATTCTCTAAATCTTAAATTATTTTTAACTTTTTTTTTGTATTTTTTGAGACAGGGTCTCCCTGTAGCCCCAGTTGGCCTGGAACTCACTATGTAGACCAGGCTAATCTCAAACTCACAAAGATCCACCTGCCTCTGCCTCCCAAGTGCTGGGATTAAAGGCATGTGCCACCATGCCTGGCTCTAAATCTTAATTTTAAATTAAAATTTTCTTTCAATTTTCTGTTTAAATGAAATATCTTTGAAGAACTCACAATCTCAGAGAATAGAAGATGCTCACCTTATTACAAAATTGTGGCTGTCAATCTCCTTTCCACATTCACTATCTAACAGAATTCCAGAATTTCCAACAACTGCACAGGTCTTAAATCTGCGATTTTTCATTGGTGAAACTTCAGGTAGAAGGCTATGCAGGTCATGAGAAATATTCAGTGTCCGACGTCTGTCCAGCACATAGTGTATGACATCACCAGGCTTAAAACTGCTCTTGACCACTGAGACATCACGTTCTGCATCTAAGAAACGGAGAATGTTCTTCCTATATTTGAAATACAAGCAAAGTTTTACATTAGGTTTGCACATCTAATCATTTACCACATAACATGTAAAATATAAATTGGTATAAATATTCATGTAGTACTTAAATCATCTAAATTCTATAATAAATACATTTAACAAA